GGAATACAATTCATCAACATCCACACAGTCTGTGACCACAAGCCAATTTTGATGCAGGTGAATGCAGTTGTGTGGGAGCAGCCACTATACCATGTCAGAGAGTCTTGTGGAAACTTGTAACTGGTTGAAAATAACTTTAGTGGTTAGCTTTACAGTAATACGGGTTAACCACTTCAAAAGAGGCACCTTACATATACCATTAAGCAATCTGAATAGCTCTCAGCTAATAACATGCAGTAATACACTTTTGAGAAGCAGTAATATAAGCAGATAGACATGGATTCCCTTGTGCTTTTTATGGAGTTACTTACCACACAAGTGCTTTCAGTAAAAGTACAAGAGTGTAGTTCAACATTCCTGCTAGGACATTTCCAACAAAACAAATTGAACTTGTCTCTATTGTGCGGTTCATGCATATTGTACTTGTTGTGGTCGTATTAGTCAAGCATCAGTACATTTTTTTGCTCACACTTTCAAAATTCCCTCCTTCCTGAACTCCATTAACTATTCACCAACAAGATTGTTAGAAGTTCTCACATTAGAGCAAGATCAGTTCTACTGAGCTTAACTTTTCTCTGGCACTATGTTAGTCCAGAAATCTGTTGCAAATGCATCAGCAAGGAGGCTAAATTTAACAAAGGAGAAGTCAATTTTTATATTAACATGTTTTGAGGCTGGGAATAGCTGTAAATTTTGAAAAATAAATGTTGTTACAGTCTGCAGTTTAAATTGGATTATTCAATATAAGCTTAAAGGTTTGGAAGACCTGAGTCAGTTTTTCCTTCCCACCTCAATATAATTGTCATTAGCTTTTTTCTTTTTTTGACGTTTATTGTTTTATAGAATTGCAGCATCACTGGCAAGGTCAGCATTTCTTGCCTGCCCTAGTTGTCCTTGAACTGAGTGGCTTGCTTGGCCATTTAAGAGGGCAGTTTAGAGTTAACCAAAATGTTCTGGATCTGGAGTCACATGTAGGCTAGACCAGTTGAGGGCAGCAGATTGCCTTCCCTTAAAGGACATTAGTCAAGCAGATGTTTTAATTTTTAAACAACAAAATATTTTCACGACGGTCATTTCGGAGACTAGGGGCAGAATCTTGTATTTTTGATCCTAGATGTGAAGTCAGACCTAAAATTAGGACATACATCCACTTGGGAGTGGGTCAGGTCTTTTCTCATGACTACATTCTTCTCAGTTTGTTACATGTGCAAGTGGAACTCCAAATTTTATGGGCCCCCTGTGCTGTATTTAAAAGGTACTATGTCTCAGTGATGCAGCAACATCAGTATGTGGTTCCAGTGCCGCAAGCGAATGAATATTTTCACCAGGGTATGAACCATTGGCTACTCAATGGTTCATGCCCCTATGAGTGTGAGTTAGCATTGCAAGGTCACACACAAGGTTGGGTGTCAGGCATCTCCATCAGTCGTCTCACGTGCAATCCAACATTCTAGTAACAGAACTAAAAACTTTTGCTTCAGAACTTGCTGTACTCTAGCCAATCGGGGCAATATTCCACATTCTTGGGTAGAAGCCACTATTGGAACTGTACTAGAACAGCCTGGCTAGGGTACGGCAAGTTCTGGAGCAGAATTATTCAGTTCTGTTGCCAGAATGTTGTCAGGCCCCTTAGCCTTTTATGGTTTTAAGTCCCTTCAGCCATTTCTTGATGGAAGCAAGTCAGGTGGATATCCAGGAGCAAATCCAAAGACTCCTTTTCTCTTTTCTCATTTTCCAGCCAGATACTTCCACTCTCTGAATTGAGAGGTATGAATTAGAGATGTCTCCCTGTCACCATAGCTAACCAAATCTTCCCAAATTAATTTATACCCTCTCAAACTTGATTTCTTCGATCCAAATGTGAGCTGCTATCTGCATGCTACATGCTGAACAATTAAGACTTGCTGTCTCTATCGTTTCTCTCTCTCTGTCTCTCTCGCATTCTTTCTTACCCTCTTGCACTCTCTCTCTCTCTCTATTTCTTCTTGATTTTTTTGGAAAGAAACTGCAAACTATTCCTACAATGACACTTTTCTCTCAAAGCCCATCTCAAATTGAATCACAGGGACCTTCTATCCAGGTAGACATACTGGTTAGCTATCCTCAAAACTATCAGCTCCATTTTGTTTAGGAATTACATAGACAATTTAAAGTATGTCATTTACAAAATCTGACATTTCTAACACCTCCCTGGGAGCTGTAAACTAACAGTCCATCTGTTGTCAGTACATTTGCCCTGGTCATTGCTTACGATGTGAATATCTCACACTTCCTTCCCAGTGAAACAATTTGGGCCCACCTTTCTTTTTTAGCAACCAAGCCACACAAGCTTGTTATCAGGCTGATTTCAAAACACTTCATATGATTTTCTTCATCCCCCAACAATTTTGGGACATATTCCTTCGAAGCAGCCAGAAATTTTCATTTGAAATTTGATTTGAAATACTTTTTATGAAATAATTTCACATTCTAACCCATCGAGGGTGTATTTAAACAAGAGCGTGAGATTAATGGATTGTTTTTTTTTTATAAACAGCTGACACAAGCATGTTAGACTGAAGAGCTCCCTACTGTGTTGTGTAATTCAATTCATTGTAGTATGTTCTATATACTTCAGTCAAAGAGTGTGTTATTCCCAACTTGTCAATGAATAATAGTGACTGGTGCACATTGTGATCTTCACGCTTAACCTTAGCTCTGTCCCTTTGCATCCCCATGATGACTGTTCTCTTTGGCTGCTTGTCCAACTTCAAATCTTTGATCAGCAAAAAATTTTTTCCAAAGTAACATTTGCTCTTCTGTTCAGCTGTTAGCCAAAACTTCAGATTATGGTCTTCAACATGTGCAGCCTTGGGGCTCTATTTGATTTGGTGTAAACTATCATTCTCCTGGATATTACCATTGACCAGAAACTGAACTAAATTAGCCATATAAATACTGAGGTAACAAGAAAGGGTCAGGGGCTGGGCATTCTGTGGCAGGTTACTCACCTCTTTACTCCCTTAGATCTGCTTGCCATCTAGAAGGCAAAATCAGCATTGTAATATGATATTTGGAGGAAGGGATGATGATAAACAAAGGCCTGATAAAGAGCTATTGGTATTATTGCTCGACTCTTAATCCAGGGACCTAGATAATGTTCTGGGGGCCCAGATTTGAATCCTGCCATGGCAGATGGTGGAATTTGAATTAAGTAATAAAAGAAATCTGAAATTAACCTGGAAGCTGCTATCAATTGTCAGGAAAGTATCATCTGCTTCACAAATATCCTTTATAGAAGCTAACTGCCATCGTTACCCAGCCTGATCTACATGTGACTCCAGGTTGGGTGTTAATTGCACTCCAGGCAAATAAGCTTAGGCAATAAATGTTGGCCCAACCAGTGAAACCCACAGAAACTCTCTATTTACCTGTCTGAGTGCAGCTCTAACAATGCATAAGAAGCAGCTTGATAACATCATAGTCCAAAGATGTGCAGGTTAGGTGGATCAGCCATGCTAAATTGCTCATTGTGTCCAGGGATGTGCGTGCCAGGTAGATTAGCCAAGGGAAATGCGGGTTATGGGGATAGGGTTAGGGATAGGTCTGGGTGGGATGCTCTTCAGAGGGTTGGGGTGGACTGCATGAGCCTAATGGCTTCTTTCCATACCGTGGGATTCTGATTCTATAATGACCAGATAAAGCAGTCTATTTGATCGATAGCCTATCAACCGCCTTCAGCATTCACTCTCTCCATCGCCAGCAGATAGCAGCAACAGTGTCTAACACTACCTGATGTATTGCAGCAACTCACCAAGGTTCCTTTGAGAGAACTTTCCAAACCCCTGACCTCTATCGCCTGGATTGACAAGGGCAGTACTTGCATGGCAACTCCCATCAGCTACAAGTTACTCTCCAAACCACACCACACTCTGACTTGGAAACATATCAACATCCCTTCACTGTTACAGGATCAAAATCCCAGAACTATCTTCTCAACAGCATTATGGGTGCACCATTTACTGTAGCAGATTAAAGAAGGTGCGTTATCACTAGTTTCTCAAGAACAGCTAGGGATGGGCAATGAATACTGACTCAGCAGGGACTCGCACATCGAAGTAGCATTCCTGCCAAGACTAAATTTTGCATACATTGTGAATCAACCACAGTGACAATCACACAAATGACAAACTATGAGCATTTTGAGTTTCTCTGATATACCTGGACATTTCTTTTTATTCATTGACAAGATAAGGGCATCGCTAGCTAAGCAGCATTTATTGCCCATCCCTAATTACCCAGGGGGCAGTTAAGAGTCAACCACATTGCTGTGGATCTGGATCACATGTAGGCCAGACCAGATAAGGATGGCAGTTTCCTTCCCTAAAGGGCATTAGTGAACCATTTGGGGTTTTCCCTGACAATCGACAATGGATTCATGGTCATCATTAGATTCTTAATTCCAGATATTTATTGAATTCAAATTCCACCATCTGCCATGGCGGGATTCAAACCCGTGTCTCCAGAACATTATCTGGGTTTCTGGATTAACAGTCCAGTGATAATACCACTAGGCCATTGCCTCCCCTTCACGATTGGGGGAAACAGCAGGAATATTAAAAATATTTGATCAATCTTATTCATTAAACATTGCCTCTCCTTTAAGCTGCAGGTAGCAAGTTAAGATACATTTTTCCATTACAATTTGAATAGTTAGTCAGGTCTTTCGGAATTAGAGACGTGCTTCAGACATCCTAGGGCATCTAACCCATGGCTCAAAATATCCATTGAAGAATAATGATGAACTTTTGCTCAGACCAGTTTTTGTCACTATGACAGTCATCATAACATATATACAGACAGGATTTTTAATACAAACAACACGGCTATTCTGGAGGGGAAAAACCCCTCAGTTTCATATTTTTAATTTTAAAAGCTAATATTACTTTTCAGGCAATCCAAAGGCAGCAATGAGGTCCTAAGAGTAGATTACACCACAGGTTAAGGTATTAGCTGCAGGGTTCAGGTGGGGCTGTAACCTGACACCTGACCAGGTATTGCACAGTGCCGTTTAGGAATTGTTAGTTTTTTGAAAGCTACAGACAGAAACTAGCAGGAAAACAGTTTAACTGTAAAGAAAAGGGATATGTTCACAATTAATCTCACATTTTATTAATCTGAGTATCAACAAAAGTATCAAGGATTAGTTGGCTGGATACCTAGTATCATGGAGCGCTCAGAGTGAAACAGTCTTTTGCATCAGCCCAAAGTACAGGTAACTACTCATGCAGTACAGAGAAGTTTTTGCTTAAAGCTTGGTTTCCAGGACCAGTCTCTTGAGGAATATTACTAAGTTTTGAATTTCAAGTTGTACAGCAATGCACTGTTAGAATGGAAGAACGACTGCACCACAGCTTAGGCTGGCTCTCGATTACAATACTTTTACTAAAAGGAGGATCTTTGCTCACACAAGGTAAATATGTTTTTTTCTTAAAACTATTGGAGAGGAGCAGAGGTTGGAATTGAACATTTTCAGGCTGTGCTGGATAAAATTGGCCAAGATATAATGTTTTGCTTTTTTATTTGTTAAGAAAATATTAAGTCTTGTCAAATCTAAGTACGTATTGGAGCAACAATGCAAAGTTTTGAATGAAGCAAGATTTTATGACTGACATTTAGCAATTTAGACTGAGGTGATGGTTTTTACTGTTGATGTGTGTGGTTAGACCAATGACTGGAAGGAGACTAAAATTGAAGAAAAGCAAGTATAAAGGGAAAGATAAGTGTTTTTAGTGATCATAGTTTTTGAATAAAGAGAGCAAAGTCAGTGTTACTTTCATTATTTCAGTATTATTAAATTACTGTCATTTTCTGAAGAGGAGTTTGCACTAAATCATAAAGTTTAGTAAATCACTGAAGCAAAAATGTCATGACTTCATATTATAAATGTGAGTGCTGTTCAGAGGAAAACATAAAAATTATGATAAAACTGGGATAAATGAGAAAAAAATGTAAAATGCTATGATAATGGTAACTGGCAATTTCTGTAGGGAAAAAAGTGATTTTGATACATTTGAAAATGTCAGATCTGTGCATTACTTTTCTTTCTTCAATGTGGTTGAAATTAGTTCTTGCGGTTCTAGGACTTAAAAACCTGACTGTCTCGCGACTGTCAGACCATTGTTTTACACACAAGAACTAAAATGGCACTGGGTCTTAAAACTGATTAGGATGATTGATGCTATATCAAATCTGTCGGCAATAGGATTAGCCTAACCCTAACCTTATGCCTATTGCAAATAAAATAATGTAGTTAAGGAATTAATTAATCCAGAATTCATTGAATTTTGAGTGCCAATGTTTTGTTTGCACACACTTGTGAAACAATCAATAAAGCCAATTCAAATTCTGAAATTAGTGGCTTCATGCAGATATCTGAAGGGCAATGATTTACAGTTATTGATTGCTTATAGAATACAAATCATTGGAACTTGCCTTTTGTGGTGCATTCCAGTTATGTGATGTAACCATTAAATGTATCAAAAAACACAGAAATATGACAGCAAACGTGGTCAGAACAGATATTTGGTCCTAGCTAATTCTCATAAAAAGAACCATTGCATACCACTAGTATCTTTTCAAAAAATAGCCATACCGTTCCCTATGGGATCTGCCTGCGTTGTCATCCTGAGACTGAATTTCTTCTTGCTCCCATCTGAGTGCAGTAATTAAACCAATTATCCAATCGTTCCCCATTTTCTGCTGCATTATTAGATTTACAGTTATTTATCATGCCTTAATCACCACCTTTCCCATCTCTGTACTTTACTTAATTTTGTAGAGTTATACTGAAGAAAAAGTTTGTTTGCTGCCTCACTTTCTACTTTATGCCGCTAGTTGCCTTGCTTCACTTTCCCAGGTATGACTGTTTTGTAATCACCCATGTATCTTGAAAGTATTTATCCTCTGCATTTCTCTATTTATGTGGTCATACTTCTGTATCCAACCTTCAAAATACAATCCTTGAACTTGAGACCCTCAGACATACTCTTGCCTTTCTCTGTTGCAATCCTAACTTTATACTCAACGATGCTGTGATCACTGTTGCTGAGGTGGTAACAGGCTCAAATCCAGTTTTAATTTCCAGCCATTGTGGGTTCCATTAGTTCTGAATGAGTAGCCTATCAGAATTTTGTTCAAAATATATTTTCTCTCATTATATAGATCTCCGATTGAATTCAAATCATCAAAAACTTTATTTGACCTTTAACAGCTCTCGAGTCTGAATATTATATTCACAATCTACTCCCTCACATTGGTAAATGGGATTCTGATATGAGTTAATATTCTTCTTTATATGTCACTTGGATTATTCCACAGTAGTTTAAATTATTCTGAAACCAATCTAGATTTTATCTCCATGAACATCATGTCTTCTTTCACATTAAAAAAAATTCTCCCTCCTGTCAAAGATAGTAGGAACTGCCGATGCCGGAGAATCTGAGATAACAAGGTGTAGAGCTGGACGAACAAAGCAGGCCAAGCAGCATCATAGGAGCAGGAAAGCTGACGTTTTGGGC